GATGACCATGAACGAAGATTTGCAGGTTATGAGTAGCCCAAATGATACCGCTGGCGGAGACAATCCAGGTCAGCCTTCGGCTCCTATGCTGAATGGAGTTCAAAACCCAGTGAGGGCTTTGGACTTGGACGGCGAGTTATTGGGAGTTCCTCAGACCGCCGGTGGGGTTGATCTACCTGGTGAGCGGGTGGAAACCACTACGGTGCCAACCTCTATGACTGGAGGTCAGCTTCGTGAGGAAGCTGCAAGGTTCTTGACAACTGCATCTTCTGGGTTATCCGGCGTGAATATCTTTACGGGACAACAATCTGGGATTTCTTCTGGGACTTCTGGAGGATTGGAGACTCTAAGGAGTAATGTGGCTCCTAATGGTGGTCCAGTTGTTCGTGGAGGACCGCCGCTTGGAACGCCGCCTCCTCCGCCGAAGGATAGAGGAGTTTCTAGTGACCGGGATGGTTACCAGTCGGCTCAGTCTATGAGTCCAGGCGACCCAAGAGGAGCGCCATCGGAGAGCCAGATTCCTTCAACTCCCCTCTTCGATGCAGTGACGTACGGGCGCTTACGTGACCTTCATAATGAAGCTCCACATCTGTTCGCACAGGGTATGACTATTCCTTCAGCTGGAGGACCTCCGTCCACACATTCGAGCGATATCCAGGCGGAGGTGAGAAGACAGTTGTCGGAGATGATGGCGAGACATGATGTTGAGAGTGAGCGCATGCGTAGACAGATGGAAGCACTAGCTTCTGAAAACAGGGAGCTTAGGAATAGGATTTTCGCTGGAACCAGGGAAGTGCCTTCTGGTCCCGAGAGCTCGAGTGGAATCCCTGGACTTGGGTGGATAGGTAGGGGAATAGGTTCTATCTTAAACCAGGCTAAAGGGACTACGAGTAGGTCTATGGATTTACAGACCCAAAAGGCACCGTCGCCCCCTCCGCCTCCACCTCCAACCTCGGCAATGGATTTCGTCCCGGCTACGACCTATCACGACTCCATGAAGACTTCACCAGCAGGGTTTGAGGGAACAGGCTCTGGGATCAGGGTTGGAGTTGAAGGTGGCGAGCAACCAGACTATTTCCCTATGCTTCAGGCTAGGCCTCAGGAGGCAGCTGGAGCTAGTCTTGATCCTCTGAATATAGTCCTTACGGGGATGGCTCAGTTGCAGGGTGTTGTGTCGGAACTAGCAGCCAGTCCCAAGGCTACCAGTAGAGCTGAAGTGATCAAACCAGGAGTAGCATCATTACCAGATTTACCGGAGGCGAGTAATGAAGCTTGTCTTGAGTTTTCGGATTGGTTGCATAATACAAGGCCCGCGTTGGCCGATGTCAGCGACACATCTGGAGACTTGTGGGAAATGGTTGTTCAGGAGGCCGGGGTTTGGTACTCGCAGTACTTGAGGAAAACTCCAATTGAGAGACTCGGGCTAAAACCAGTTCCTTCTGAGGCCCTTCAGGACCCCCGCTGGGCTAGAGTATCTAGGCGCATCGAAACCATGATTATAGCTTCAGCGCCGACACATGTGAAAGAAGAATTGAGTGTGGCGAGAGTATCCGGGTTATTTCAGCTTGTTTGCCGTTTATATATTATCTACGCACCAGGAGGACTCTCGGAGCGAGAGATTGGTCTGCGGCAGATTCAAGATCCTCAGGTCGGCTCCACAATAAAGGAGGTTATCACACTGCTACGCAAGTGGCAACGTTGGTGTGCAAGGATGCGGGACCTGGGCAGTACGTTGCCAGATAGCTCGTTGAGGGTTAAGGCACTGGAACGAATGACGAAGGTTGTGCTGGCGTCAAATCCCGACATCAGTTTTAGAATCAACCTGACGAGGGCTGCGTTACAGATTGATGTGATGCCCGACGATGCGAAGGTTGACCAGTTGCATGCGCAGATGCTGAGTGAGCTTGAGGCTGCCTATCACCGCTCAGCCAAGGACACAGATAAGGACAGGCCTAAGGATAATGTAGGGCAGGCAAATCCAAAGGTTAGAGGTGTTGAGCAGCAGGAGGCAATACAATCGCCTCCGAAAACCCCAAAGGCTAACCCTAAGAGAGTTCCGAAGGCCCAGACTCCTAAGACTATTGGAGGTTCCGATCAGCAGGTCCCAGCAAGGCCCAAGTGTTCCTTCTTCTATAACCAAGGGTGTAAGAAGGGAAATGATTGCACCTTTGAGCATGATTGGAGTCAGATACCGGTTTCGGAGCGGCCAAACAGGTGTAAGACTTGCGGGGGAAAGGGGCATAGATCTTCGGAGTGCAAGTCAGGTTTGAAGAATGAGGAAAAGGCTAAGCCAAAGGGAAGCCCGAAGAACACCAACAACCCCAAGGCTTCTTCAGATCTCCCTTTGCCACCTCCACCACCCAACTCTTCTGGTAAGGACGCAATGCTGAAGTCTATGCTTGCTGATGCTGCTGCTATTCTTCACCAGTCGGTTCCTACGCAAGCAGGTGATGCTACCTCATTAGGAAGATCGCCAGTACCAATAAGTCCGGCACCAGCTAAGGCAGTTGGAGTGTCTGGGAATGCTACCACGCCACAGGCTAGCTCGGTCACCCCGGGGACGCCCGTAACTATTGAGTCTCTTGCTGCGCAACTTGAAGGACTTAGGTCTATGGCGCAGAGCTACGAGGCTCGTACTTGTATAGTAGAGCAGGTGTTGAGTTCTACTTGTGAGGTGAGCAGGGTGTTGTTAGATAGTGGGGCAACCCATGCTGTTATCCCATATGGAGATGATCTTCAGGGCTTGGAGCAGGTGTCCGTGACGTTAGCTGGCGATGAACGCCAGAGTTGGTACAGGACAAGAGGGGACACCTTGGTAGTACCGCCATTGAACGGGCAGGGTTCAGGAGCTAATCCTCCTCAGACGATACTCCCTCTAGGAGCATTGGTCGAATCCCTAGGATGTTCCCTTACCTGGAACAAGCGACAGGGCTTGAAGGTTGTGCATCCGAGACTCGGAGTTCTGAAAACCGGGGTAGGCAAGAATACGTGCCCTTATCTACAGGAATGCCAAGCGCTCCAGTTGATTGAAGAACTCGAGATGAGTAGGTTGAAGGAACTCGAGAATCAGGTCCAGGCTTTGGAGTGGAAGATGTCGGGGCTTGAGAAGCCTATCGATCCTACCGTTGCTCTTCGGAAGTTTGGGGAGTCAGGGAGTAGGAAGGATGCGTTGGTAGCAGTGTTTTCGCAGCCTTATTTCAAGGAGGTTCCAGATGAAGTGAAGGTGAAACTGGCAGAGGAGATTCCTAGAAACAACCAAACTGATGGTAAGAAGATCCTTAAGAGGCTACCACTGTCGCGCGCAGCGAGGAGATCCTTGTACAATTCTAGGAAATGGATCGTTCAGCTGTGTGATGGTTATGATGTTTCCCAGGATCCAATCAGGGTTTGGGGTAAGGAAAAGGGGTGTGAGGTGTTACAGATTGACCTTCTGAGGAAAGGAGGTAAGGGATGGGATCTTACTAAGCCAGAAGGGGTGTGGTCAGTTCTTCTGTGGGCTGCAGCAGAAGGAAGGATTACTTGCATCACCTCTTCTGCCCCGAGACGTACTTGGCAAGCTTCTATCAGCGAACGAGATGATCACTTGGCGAGAGGCTTGGAGTTTTGGGGCAGTGGTTTTGAGAATGAAAAGGTTCTAAAGGAAAACCTCCTTGTCGTTCAGGATCTGTTTCTTTGGTCCTTAGCGTCAGTCTTCAGGGGCGGACGCATTCCATTGGTGAAGGAGTGCTCTGCTGGAGTTGAAAGAGGGACTCAAGGGAGGGATTTCTGGGATACCGAAACCTGGCACCGGTTTGAGCAGTGGTCCGGGGTTAAGGTTGGTTTGGTTCCGGTTGAGGACACGAAGGGAAAGGACATCAAGTACCTTTCGGTTGGGACCAATCTTGAGTTTCCTGGATGGAGGCCATTGAAGGCGGTTTCCTCTTGGAATTCAGCGTCTTGTTGGACCTTGGGATTTCGGAGCATGATTAAAGGGGCTTTGTCTGGACACCAGCCTCATGAGGATCTCGAGGTACTTGATGGAATTGTTACGGCTGCCCTGGAAGGTTCGAAGGAGCTAACATGTAAGGCAGGCGCGGTAAGGGCAGCTGACAGAGATCTATCGCCTGAAGAAGTAGAGGGTTGGAAAGCTCACATTGCCCAGGGACACATCCCTTATCGAAGGGATTGTCTTCATCGTGTGCAGGGGTCCGGCTTGGGAATCCAGCACCGAAAGGTGAAACACCCTTCTTCTTACTCATTGAGCATAGATCTTTTCGGGCCTATGGCAGTTAGTGAGAAGGGACAAGATGAGGAAGCGGTGTCCGGAATAGCTCAGATTAAGTATGGCTTGATGGGTGCATTTAGAGTACCAAGGGAGGTCTTGAGAAAGGAAAAGAATGAAGGAGTTGAACCGGCTTCACCGGGCCACGAGGCCGAACCTGTTGAACCACTTGAAGATCTCGCTGAATATGAACCTTCCTTGCCTGATGAAGGGTTGGGATTAGGTTCTCCGGTTCTTGAGGATGTTGAGGATTTGTTTGAATCCTCAGAAGTTGGAGCACGGGCCTTTGCCTTACATGAAGACTCTGAGCACCCTTTACCATGGAAGGATGAAAAGATTCCTACGAATGATGAGGAGCTTCAGGAGTATCTGAAGGGGTTGATGGTCCCACCGGATCAGGCTGTGTTACGGTTTTTCATCGGCCTCAAGTCGAAAACAGGGGTTGATGTGACTTCAGGTATTCAGAAGATGATATTGACGATTATGAAGCAGTTTCCAGTGAGGACCCTGCATTGCGACCCGGGAACCGAGTTCACATCGGATGCTCTGAAGAGGTGGCTTTCGGATCAGAAGATCACCCTGCAGCACCCTCTACCAGCCGATAAGCAGGCTAACGGGTTGGCGGAGAGGACTATTGGCTGGAGCAAGGCCCGAGCTCGGACTTTGCTGAGCGCTACAGGAATACCTACTCAATTTTGGCCATTGGCGATTCGCTATGCTTGTGAAACACACAATAGGGTTGAAAAAGGGGAATCACTCCTGCCGGCGTTTGGACAACAAGTATTCCATAAACTCAAGAGAACCCCAACTTCTGCGAAAGATCTTATGAGAAGATGGGTAATGACGAGGTATTTAGCTCCCCACCTCACGGTACCAGGAGGTCATGTGCTTCTTACCGACCAAGGAACATTGGTGGCTTCGAAAGGGTTTAGAGCTGGTTTGGTAGATCCTGAGGTTCTTGAACAGGCTAGACCACCTCCCCTACAAGAACTTGAAACTGAAGAAGATGAGGCAGAGGGTCTTGTTGAGGGGGTACCGGGGGTTCCATTGAAAAGGGTGAGAGGGAAGACTTCAATAAGAGCTGTCGAGTATGGAAATTGTCAGACTGAGGATCTTGAGGTTCTCTCTCAACGGCTAGTTCAGGAGGAGGATTTCTCTCAGCAAGGGTTCCGCATTGTCGCTCAGAAACTGCAGCAATGTGAAACGGCGGCAAGTGGAGGTAGAAAAGTTGATTTTGGTGGAAGGTTTGTGTTTGGTGCTTATTGTCATGGGGGTTTGCGTGGTGTAACTTCACTGACGATTCGGCGCCCCTGGACCTCAAAGTATTTGACAGGGTTTTTGAGGAGGCTTTGTGAATTCGAGGAGGAGGCGAGGTGGTCATCAGTGATGCTCATGATTGAGTCTGAAGTTGAGCCACATAAGGATTTTAGGAATGAATGGGGTACTAAGAACTTTGTCGCTCATGTCCCAGGCACCTTTGATCTTAAAATTGTTTCGGATCAGGAGGAGGGATCAACCACTTGTACCTTGGGTACCAGAGCTGTTTCTTTTGACCCGAGGAGGGTGCATAGTGTTCAGTGTAACCCAGGTTGGTTCATCGCAGCTTACACTCCTCTTGGTTCTGGAAAGATTGATTCTGACAAAAGGGATTTCTTGAGTGAGCTTGGGTTTGGTTTCTTTAAGAATGAGATTGCTGCTAGTGTTTGTGCGGTTTCCTCCGGAGCGGCTAGTTCATCTAGTCCTGTGAATGAAGGCTCCCAAATTCAGGAAGTCGGGAAAACAGAGGATCCTGATTTGAGCATAGACGAGCAGCCAGATAGCGTTACGCCATTGGTTGGTTGGGATGTAAATCGGGGGGATGATCCCCCCACAGTCTTTGAAGAGGCTGATTTGGCCACTTACCTCGAGGAAAGGGGTGTTGCCAGTGAGCTTGAGAGGCTTTCAGAGATTGGAGTTCAAGAGGCGGTGGACTTGCAGTTCATCTATATTGAGGATCTTGTTGAGGCTGGTATTCCTGAGGTGAGCGCCAGGCGAATTATGTTTGGAGTTCACCCTGAAGGAACGGTAAGGCCAGATGAACCAAGTACGTGCGCCTTACGAACAGGTGAAGTGAGGCTTTATGATAGAGCTCAGAGGCAGATACCGTGGGTGATACAGAATAGGACCTTAGATTTCAGCCGTCCTCCACCTCCTGTGCAGGGTATAGGTATGAATGAAGAGTTTGAGATCCATCCCCATCCTGGACATGAGCTGTTCTGGGGCCCAGATGGGCCTATTGATGCAGAAGAAGAAGCTGGGGATGGTTTAGAAGGTCCCACGGAGATCAAGCCCGATCTTCCCGAGGAATCCACGGCATCACGGGTTATCCCACTTGTTGTTGATAGTGCAGATGATCCACCTTGTGGATCAGATGAAGTTCCGTATTCAGTTAGTTTTTCGAGGTTTGCGTTTAATAATACCACTGAAGAAATGATGAGACTTCAATCAATTTGGGATGCCTTTGATGGACAGGAAGTTCAACAGGTAGGTGGTGAGCCTTCGGAGAGTGTGCTCTTTCAGGAGGAGCACCCTACATCAACAGGTATGGTTGGAGTGACAGCGCAAGGTTCTGGGGTGTCTAATGTGGTGTTAGAAGACTCTTGTCCCGCTGAGATCACCGATCTTCCGGAGGAATCCACGGCATCACGGGTCATTAATTTTAGTTGTAAGGCACTTGCTGTGGGGGGGGGTCATTGAGGACAATAGTTTAGATGTTGCTCATTTCGGAGAAAGGGTGCTGTCGCAGGAGTCTCAGGTGACCATAGGTGTTCCTGTTGGTGATCCAGTTGAGGTATTCTCAAGTGAAGTAGGGTGCATGCGTCTTGGGAACGAGGGTTTAGAGAACTCACAGGTCATGAAAGTTGATGATTCATTTTACACTCCTGAGGTTGAGAGGCTCCTTAGTGGTCTAAGTGCACCTCTGAAGGTAGTTCACAATGTGTCTCCGTCCGAAGTTAGGCTGCATCTTGACAATTGGAAGCAGGCGGCTATAACCGAGGTTACTGCTCTTGAGGGTATGAATGCCATAGTCCGATTAAAGGGACCAGAGGCCACGAAAGAAGCGCAAATTCCAGGAACTCAGGTGTTACCGGCCAAAACAGTCTTTACAGTCAAGCCAGGCTCTGGAAACAACTACTTTAGAAGGAAGTGTCGGGTTGTTGGCTGTGGTAATTTTGAGGAAAGCGGGTCGGGTTTGGATTTATATGCTGGGGGTATACCGGCTGATGCACTACGTGCATTGCTTATCGAGGCTTCTTCTCGTGGGTATTTGGCGTTCGTCCTTGATGTATGCAATGCTTTTCTGTTAGCTCCTATACCAGAAGGAGCTAAGAATCGTATATTACTACGTCCCCCACGTATTTTGGAGCAGATGCAGATTACCGCAGAGGGAGAACTTTGGCGCATTGAGCGCGCAGTATACGGATTGAGACAGAGCCCTAAATGGTGGGGCGACTACCGTGACCAAACGTTGAGGACCTCGTCATGGAATGGAGAGAAAGGAAGGACCCGGTTCGTCCAGTCTGACGTCGAGGGGAATGTTTGGAAGATCATGACAGAGTCAGGCGAAGTTGTTGGCTTTGCAATTGTATATGTGGACGATATTATGCTGCTGAGTACAAAATCTGAGGCTGAAAGGGCTTATGGTTGGATAAGGGAGCAGTGGCAGTGCACTCCCCTCCAACAGGCTGAAGAAGGCCACCCAGTGACATTTCTTGGAGTTGAGGTTCATCTGAGTCGCGATGAATGTGGCAACCGGGGCTTTATGTTGTGTCAGAGTGGATATATACAAGAGCTGCTGAGATGTTATTCAATTGTTCCAAAGCAAAGAGCAGCACCGGTACCAGGTTCATGGACGGTGAGGGCTCCAAGGATTGTGAAGAAGATTGGTATGCGCTTGCTGGAATATTTGGGTGTTACTTGTGACTATAGGCTATCCTTGATTCCGGGTGCTGATGCTTATAATGGTGTGACAGTGTTCTCAGACGCATCGTTTGCTCCATACGGTTGCAACTCGGTCACCGGTGTCTTGGTGACATTTAGAAACCGGGCTGTTTTGTGGAAGGGGAAACGACAGGGGTTAATATCACTGTCAACGGCAGAAAGTGAGCTCATAGCAGGGTGCGAAGCAGTAGTGCTTGCTCAAAGTGCCGAAGCACTCCTCAATGACTTGTGTGGAACTTTAGAGGTGAAGCGTCTTCAAGTAGATAACCTTGCTGCTATAGTCATAGCAGAGGGTGGTGGGTCACAGAGGACGCGACACTTACGTGTGCGAGCAAACTTTGTAAAGGACCTATTGGACAGGAACGAAATTAGGGTCAACCACTGCCCAGGTGATATTCAGCTTGCAGATATACTTACCAAGGTGCTCCCGAGCGCCAGACATGAGTATCTTAGTAAACTGATTGGCCTGGGCCCGGATTCAGTCTGCTCTAAGATTGCCACTGTGACAGAGAGTACTAATCACATGAGTCCTGCGTCTTTGCATCGTGCTGCTAAGGCACTTATGGTGATGATTATTCTGCAACAGGTTCTGGAGTGTGAATCTGTTGGTGATGACGAGGGGGAAGGTGATCCTCTAAATCTTGATCTTTATGTTTTGGTTTTATTGTTGACTCTCAGTGTCTTGTTTGTTTGGGAGTCTGGAAAGTATTGTTTGAGTGGGCTTTGTAGTCATAGGAGCAGCGAAATTGAGCCTCGTGTCCAGATGATTCAGGAAGAGGATGATGAGGCGCGGACTAGAAGAAGTAGAAGACAGGAAGCGGTTAGGAGGGCTATTGAAAAGGAGTCTGAAGGGTTGAGAAAGCGTTTGAGTAGGGAAGAGGAGCCTGAGGTTCCTTCCCCTTTGGTTAGTGTGCAAGTGAGTACTACTAATCCTAGCCCTTCTGTTCCACCACCTCCTCCACCAATTCCTCCTGATCCACCAGTTAGGTATGGGACTGGATTTATGTCCCATACTAAATCCCGCTCTAGTGCCAGCTCGTCCACTGCCGTTGAGGGTGGTTCGGTGACTAGCTCTGGGGCCAGAAGGGAAGTAGCAGTTCAGACCGAGGGTCCAAGAGGACTTTCATATGAAGAGATGTGCGGGCTGGAAATGATAACTTCGAGCTCTAAGATTCCTGGAGCCCTGCACATCTTTCCCGAGTGTCATGCCTTGAGAAACGTTTCGAGCACGAATAGGCGAATGATTTGTAAGTATTGTCTTCAGTCTCTCAGGCATCGGGAAGGGACAGGTTGAGTTTCCATACCAAACGGTATGACGCACTCAAAGGAGGAGTGTTGAATTCCCTTGATCTAACCATGTTTCGAGGTTGAGTTCCACTTTACATGTAAATGACTTCGCAAGGCCTTATGGGCTGAAGCAAGGAAGCGGAGCTTCCGATCATGACACGAGCTTGAAACACGTTGAAACGACAGTCTTAGGACAAGTCAGACAGCATTTGTCTTAGGACAAGTCAGACAGCATTTGTACAGGAAGTGCAGTCACTTTGTGCTTGAGTGAGAAAAATTCGGTCAGTGTAAGCCCATGCCGCTCCTACCTGTTCTGCCCAGCTGAACATCGTGATCGACACAGCATGGCCTCTGACACCCAATTCGAGAACCCAAACTTGATGACCATGAACGAAGATTTGCAGAGCCATATAGAAGGTCTATATACCTCATAGAAGCCTTGTAGAAGCCCTATAAACCCTAGACTCCCCACCTGTAGTTTCCTTTAATACAAGTGGTAGCTACTTGCATTGGGGTCTAAGCATTCCAACGACTTCGGAAGGGAAAACAGAAATCCAGAGAGCCCAATACCCCTCAACTAAGGAATAATATACCTTAAATCATGATATGAAGGCCCTTATAATTTAAGGTATATAATCCCCAATTCCCTTATAGAACCTTACCGATCCCTTTAAGGTCGCTATAATTTAAGGTATGTATTCCTTAATTAAGGTGTATATTGGGCTCTTTGGGCTCTTCGGGTTTCAGTCCATGACTACTGCGCCTTTTGGGCTAGCCCTAAACCGCCTAAACCTTAACACCCCAAAACCCTAAACCAGGAACACCTAAACCCTACATCCTAAACCTTAAGACCTCAAAAAACCCCTAAACCCTAAGTTGGGCTACGTGGAGCCCTGCGGTTGTTGGCAGACTCTGGAACCGAGCTCCGTGATGTTTCTGGTCGACTTAAGGATTCCCTTGAAGGGGTTTAGGGTTTAGAGTTCAGGGGGGTTCAGGGGTTTAGGGGTTTAGGGTTTAGGGGGGGTTAGGAACAGTTTAGGGTTTAGGGCTTCGCACCGTAGGATCAGCATGCTGTTTTTCAGGATGCCTACAAGTTCTTTGTTTTAGAGATTCCTGTCAGCATCCTGGACAAGCTCATAATAGTAAGGTATGGGAAGCCAAGGTACTCAAGTGCCCTGTAGGTGCCTTGAACTCCCAAATACTAAACCCTACATCAATTCGATTAAACCCTATAAACCCTAAACCCTAAACCCTGGACAGGATTGCACGGATGCACCGCGCTTCAAGCTGCAGCCAGAGGCTGCCGTAAGAAGAGACACAGAGCGAGCCCAAGCACCCGGTAAAGGAATAGACCTTACATAACTACGGTTGACGGTATAAGTCATACCATAATTCCCATAGTTTAGGGTCCTTTAAGGTAATGCAGGATTTCTATCATCAACAGTAGTAGGGGGATGAATACGATCACTTACGTCATTTAAAGGCATACTCTCTAACCAGCATACCTGACTTTGTAGGGAGCTTTATACTATCCGTTGAAAGGTATGTTCCTTGAACCCTAGAACTTCAACCATGAATTGTAGGGGCTCATTTAACAAATTCACATAATTTCATGTAAAAGCTGGCTTTAAACCCGAAACCCTGAACCATGTAAAGGTACATTCTCTAAACCCTAAAACCGGAGCACTTAGTGCCTTCAAAGCTCCCAGAACGAAGGTTTTAGGCTTAGGGCATTTGTCGATCAGGTTTTCGGGCATTTTGAGAATTAGGATTTTCAGTATATCCCTTATAAAGGGGAGGCGGATATCCGTTGATCCGTGGTCTCCATCAATCAGCCCAAACCTTACCTCAAGACACCTTTGTTGGTGGTGTAGATTCTTAGCACATATCCTGATAACCCCATCTAAGCAGACCTATGCCCGAAACCACAGAAAGGTAGGCGCAGATCCGTTAAGGTCCTAGGTGCACTGTTGGTGAACGCAGGTCTCCCGGAAATGGCGAGCTCGTCTATTAAGGAACAGCAGTACCTCCATCCATGGCTCCTTTCATTCAAGAAATTCAGGGCTTTAGGGTTGTGAGGATGCTACGTGCTTGGATCCCCGGTAGTAATACATAATATAATACGCTGTTGTCTTGGTGGTCCCCTTACCCGGTGTTGTGGGTATGATGAGGGACCTAGGACCAAGTTAAGGAACGGACCTGAAACCTCAGCCTCAGCGTCTGTACAGGAAATGTACAGTTTTCCTGTATTCAATCAGACGAGCAGTCACGGCCCAGTCGGGTCGTGACATCTATAGGCTCAGGCATACTACATGCATATATATATATATACACATGTTTTCTTCATATTTAGGTGTGCATATATATATATATATATCCACACACACACAGATACAGATGTACACAACTCCTGAAACCGGTGCAATTGTTGGGCCCTCCTTTGTCACGGCTCCTGCGCAGGCGAGCAT